CCCCCCCCATCTCAACATATCCAGCTGATACTCTTCAAGGTGCTGCTCATTCTTTGCACTTCAGGCCTCAGAGTGAGCACACCTGTCTGGCTGGAGCACTTTCACACCTGCTCACCTCACCCTGGAGGCTCTTCAGCTACTGTCACTGCTGTGCGGCTTTTCCTCCCACAGAGCCTGTCATCTCTGCCTCTCAAAACCTTACACTCTGTCATCACCAGTCTGACCTACCACACTTCAAACTGGAAGGCAGGTCACGGCACATTCACAAGTAGTTCCTGAACAGCCTTTTGTCTCCCTGGTGTCCAACGCAGGGTTGGAACCCAAGTAGGCTCCCGAATGCTTCTAAATAGAAAGAGTGTGGTGACACTCTGCATACCCACCTCTCATTTGAATCTCCCCAGGCTCTTACTTGCTGCACAGTGGAGGTGAGGACCTTAGATGACCGTCTGCTCAACATCCCCATCAATGACATCGTCCAGTGAGTCTATCCATCTAGTAACAAGAAAGGGTGGACTGATACTTGGAGGGTGGAGTTGCTCAGGCTGCAGTCACAGAAGGGTCTCCCTCCCAGGCCGAAACTCAAATCTGCCAACCTCTCTGGCTGAGCCATGGGCTGTGTTCACCCTACAGAAGGGATGCCTTTTTCTGATATGTATGAAGCCCCGGTAGAGGCCGGAGAACCCCAGTGTCGGTCACTCTCTTGCCTCCATCCCCCAAATTCCTCATCAGAGAATGCATACATGGACCCCAAGTCTTTTTCCAAGGAAGGTTCCAGAGAGGGGAGGTTGACTCAACCCCCAGAGTCTGCTTCCTGCTTCCTAGGGAGAGTTGCACAATTCCTAGGGTGTGATATTTGGAACAAGCCAGTCTGCCACTTTTTCTAGCATGTGTGACTATCCATCTGTGAGAAGCTGCAATAACAGCCCATTCCTGTGGTCCTGTTAGGAGTTAGGGTGGTGTGGACCCACTGGACACTCTCTCGGACACTCCTATGATCTTCTCTTTCATCCTTCCCTTTCTCAGCCCTAAGTACTACAAGATGGTGCCAGGTGAGGGGATGCCACTGCCTGAGGACCCTACCAAGAAGGGGGACCTCTTCATTTTCTTTGACATCCAATTCCCCACCCGCCTCACACCCCAGAAGAAGCAGTTGCTGCGCCAGGCATTGCTGACCTAATTCTGGGACACCTGGGCGGGAGCAGGGATGGAGAGGGCTAGCTGGGCCTCAGCCACTCTTACCCACTCCACCCCCATAGCCTATGAAGATAGCATGAGAACTTAGGCTGATATAATAAAGATTCCTTTCCTGTCCTCTAGCTATGACCTGGAGTGTTCTGAGAGATGCTTCCTGCTCCGCCTTCCTGTAGGATTCCAAAAAGCTAGGCACCTGAGGCCCCATTTTGGCCTCCTAGTCATGGACTGTTTGTTCCCTGAGACTTCAGAGCCTCTTGCTTCCATCTCGGTAGAATGAGGCAGGGCTATGTGACTGGCCCTGTCTGAGGTCCCTCTACTCTTGCCATTTCACAACGTATATGTGTAGAAGGAACCTTCTATGGACTGTGCTGTCATGAGAAATAGACAGGAAAAGCAAAGCACAGAGAGATAGGACCTATACCTGCACTCCAGTGTCTGTGGCTAAGCTGCCACCAGAACCTTAGGCCACTCTGTATAGACTCACAGGCTTCAGTTAGAGTCACACCCAGAACACAATGCCAGAAGAGCTCTGCCTCTGGCCCTGGTTCTGTGTTTGTGAGATGGGGCTCAGGCTGCCTCTGGGCCAGTTGTCTGGGTGGCATGGCATCCAGGTCTGCCCCTGACTATTGCATTGGTTACTAACTCACCTCATTAGTAGAGCTTACACCTTGCCTACCCTTGTGAGGACTGGGGTCATTGGTAGACTCATGGTTAGATTATAGAGAGGGTCACAACAACATTCATTGCCCAGGTGGCCTGGAGGAGGTCCGGCTTC